TCAAGTTGGATCAAGTGGAATAGATGAAGTGGGGCCCCATTTTCTTTCCGGAGAATTCAAAGATTGCTGTTAGGAAATTCTTTGTTTGCTGTGGAGGACTTTGATGGGGGAAGTACTTCTGTGGATGTTTATCTTATTGATTGTTAAATAAAATACTGTTTGGCCAATGAGACAGGAAGTTAGACAGGACTAGGAGTCAAAGAGGATTCTGGGAAATGTAGTAGAGAAGTGCTGATCCAGACAGAAAATGACATAGCAAGAAGACTCACATTTAAGCAAAGGAGAAACAAGAAGGGCGCTTTTGTCCCCTCCGCTCCTGCTCCAGCAGCACAATGTGAGCCACCGGCAAGGAGGGACGCCAATAATGCGTCCGATAAGATAAGTTTTATAAAATATATAGATTTATGATAGTTAAGACTGAGATAACAGATGAGAGTCCTAGTCATTGGCCAAGCAGCTTTGAACCTAATACAAGTTTCTGTGTATTCATTTGGGCCCTAACTAGGGCGGGCGGCTGGCGTAAAGCTCACACGTGGCGGTGGGGCTCGGCAGCTTTTGGCGGGAAGATTTATCGTAACAATTCGGGGCTCACAATCCCATCATTTTCTGTATTTTGTCATCTCACCTCCTGACTCTTTGTCACAAGGCAAAAATCAGGAAGATAAATATGTGGGAAATTAGGTTTTCAGAGAAAGAATTGAGCTTAGACAAATGACAGTCCCTAGATTTTGTTTTCTTCTTCAATTTACATCAATTGGATTCTTGATATAATACAGAAAGTCTGAATTTTATTTTAACAACATGCTTGTATTTAGAGGAGGAAAGCCAAACCCGACACCAAAGCCAGCGTTGGTTTGAGTGAATTGGGGCTAAAAAAGTATTAGGAAGTAAAGAGAAATAGATTTTTGTGTAGATACAGTTTAACAGATTTAGACATTGGTACCATGTATCAGATTCTTTGTTTGATGTTGTTTTTGGATGTCTTTAGGCATCTACATGTTCAGGGTCTTTTTGCTTTTTGGAGATGGGTTTTCCTGTCAAGACAAGAACAAAACACTACCCCTTCCTTTGTGAGGTCTCCATACAACTTGTGAGATACCTTGATGGATGACCTGTCATTTCTCCTCATTGAGGGGTTTCTGTTGTTTGAACGGAATCTTGATCAACTTTGATGGTATCCAAAGCTTTTCTTCTCCTGTGGAAACAAAGGCAAAACCCCTACCCCAAGTCAACACATATCCTGGTTTCCATACTGAAGTCAATAGTACATCCTTGGAGTACATCGGCTGATTTAGTTCAGAAATTTTTTCTATTGTCCAGTGTCTTTCTGTGGCTCTTTGTCCTTTCTCATTAGCATTAAGAATGTTTAATGTTAGTAAAGCATTATGTAATCTGTGTTTGGGGGTCTTTGTTCCCTCTACCTGTTTATAGAGCATTTCCTTTAAAGTGCAATTAGAGCTCTCAACCACTGCTTGTCCTGCAGGATTGTGTGGTACCTTTATGTGCTTTATGTTATAATACTTAAAAAACTGTTCCAACTTGCTGGAGACACATGCTGGAGCATTGCCAGTTTTTATTTGTGCAGGTATACCCATAACTGCCATCACCTCTAGTAGGTGTGTGATAACAGAATCAGCCTTTTCACTAAGAGCAGTGGCCCAGTGAAACCCTGAAAATGTGTCTATTGTATGGTGCACATATTTTAATTTTCCAAATTCTGCAAAGTGAAACACATCCATTTGCCAAATTTCATTTCTATGTATACCTTTGGGATTACTGCCTGATGATAATGGAGTTTGACTCTAGAATGAACAAGTAGGACACCTTTTTACTATTTCCTTGGCTTGTTGCCAAGTGATGGGGAAATTCTTTTTTAAACCTTTGCTATTCACATGGTGTTTTTACGAAATTCTGAGGCTTCTAGAACACTTCCTATTAATTAATGATGAATCTTGTCATTGCCTTTTAAATCAACGACTATAATAGGCCATCCTTTAAGTATCAGAGAAGACAAGGGCATCCCAGGCTGTAGAGATCCTGTAGGCTGAATTACTTTATTAATGGCTCTCAGGTCTGTAAGCATCCTCCATTTACCAGATTTCTTTTTGGTAACAAATACGGGAGAATTCCAAGGCTAGTAGATTCTTCGGTATGTCCAGCATTTAGCTGTTCCTGAACCAGCTTTTCTAAAGCCTCTGGCTTCTCAGAGGTCATCAGCCATTGCCCTACCAAGACAGGTTCATCTGTTAGCCATTTTAAGGGTAGGGCTTTCAATTCCTCTGTAAGTCTGGCATTTGCATTCTGTTAAACACATCCTGGATGGTTGGTATCTGTTTTCTGTAGTGCGTTACAATATTTTTCCCACCACCATGAGCTTGTTTATGATTCATACCTGATACTGGAAGAATGTTAATCTGGGTATTCCATTGCTGCAACTGATCACAGTCCCACAGAGTTATCACTATGTCAGCCATATATGGCCTCAGGCTTCCTCTTTGTCCTTCTGGCCCTATACACTCAACCCATCTTGTGCTTTCTTTTACTTGAGATAGGGTTCCAATCCCTAAGAATTGAACATTTGCCTCCTGCAGGGGCCATCTTGGAGGCGAAACTATAACCCTACCTATCACATATCCTTTCTGCTCCCCCTGGATGGTGAGGCCTTCCATAGGGGGTCATCAGAGTCTATCGTTTCCTTTGGGATAGGGCCTAGGCCCACCCCCGTGTGTCTTGGCTCAGGGAGTATTCCTCTATGTGGATTGGGCTCCCAAAGTCCACACCTATGCTAGGGATAAGTACTGAACTACTACAGGAGGTCCCATAGATTTCTGAGGTTTCCTCACTGAAACCCATGTTCCTGGGGCCTGGATCAGTCCCATGCTGGTTTCCCAGCTATCAGTCTGGGGACCAAGAGTGCCCCAATGTTCGTGTCAGCTGTTTCTGTGGGTTTCACCAGCCTGGTCTGGACCCCTGTATTCTTCACTCGTCCTTCTCTGCATCTGGGTTCCAGTTCAGTTCAGTGATTAGTTGTGGGTGTCTGCTTCTACTTCCACCAGCTGCTGGATGAGGGCTATCGGGTGGCATATAAGACAGTCATCAATCTCATTATTAGGGGAGGGCATTTAAGGTAGCCTCTCCTCTGTTGCTTAGATTGTTAGTTGGTGTCATCTTTGTAGATCTCCAGACATTTCCCTGGTGCCTGATTTCTCTGTAAACCTAAAATGTCTCCCTCTATTATATTATCTCTTATCTTGCTTTCTTCTGTTCTTCCCACAGCTCAACCTCCCTGCCCCATCATGTCTTCCTCACCCCTCCTCTTCTCCTTCTCCAGGTGCCCTCTCCCCTCCCCTGATGCTCCCAATTTGCTCAGCAGATCTTGTCCCTTTCCCCTTCTCCAGGGGACCATGTATGTCTCTCTTAGGGTCCTCCTTGTTTACTAGCCTCTCTGGCAATGTGGATTGTAGGCTGGGAATCATGAATGCTCATTTTCAAATGAACAGGACTTCCCAGGAGACAAGGAAAAAAATTGTGTGTTTGTTGGTTTTCAAAAAATTTCACGTATCCAAATATTCATTTGTGAGTGTAATGTACCATGCATAATTGTCAATTGGCCAACAAAAAATTTTCAGTTGAAAACAGGGATGTGTGCTTGTCCTAGACTATCATAAGGTACCAGAGCAATAAACGATACATTATTCTTCGTTTTATGTCTAGTTTCCACATATAGCCATCCCAGATGGCTAGCATGTTCACTAGGAAAAATACGGCATAATGATAGCTTGCTTCTCACACATTCAAGTGAATGTTCTTTGACTGTGTCTAAGACAATAGTTATCACATGAATTTTCACTTTTCATCTTTGAAGAAATCAAAAACTAAGTCCACAGTTTTCTATGAAACCTAGAGCATTAGCAAATGTGGTTGAGCTATTTATTTCTTAGTGGTTGCTCCATCCATATCTTTGACTGTATGTCCAGGATTGCTTCCTTACACAGCAGATCCTCTAGATACTAGCACAGTCTATCATGCTTGTGACAAGGACTCAGGAGTGTATCAGAAAAAAAATCATGATTTACCTGAAAACAAGTGGAGTAACCCCAGGACTCAGGAGGGGAACACTGGCTTCAGTTAATAGATTTGTCAGACTTAAATGCCCTGGGACCAACACGGGAAAATATAGAATGAAACAACTTCCTGAAGAATAACAGTCTCCAAATGACATGTTAATGGATTTCTGGAAGGATTTGGTGTCAGCACGTCCTTGCAAGAGTGAACAGTATGGAGAAAAGTACTCCCTGGAAAGACACATAAGGAATCCCTTGATCTGCCCTTGAGTGCACCGATCCACACCTGACTTCAAGATCAATTAAGAACTTAGATTCTCCCAAAGGAAACATGGAAAATTTTTTCTAACTTCTGCCCAACTACTCATTAAGATCTGAAAAAACTTCTAGGCATCATCATAAATTACCAGAAGCTAAAAATGAGGAGTATTGCTTTGGGGATAAATGAGTTTTCCCTCAATGGAGGTATCCCAAAGTTTCCATGCAGACAATCTGACTGACACCACAGATGATATCATAATGAGCTCTCTGAGGGATGTCACGTCTAAGTACACTGTTATTTTAGGAGCATTGGAAACCTGGACTCTGCTGGGTCACCTTCACAGCATTGCATGGAAAGTGAGGAACAGTTAAGTTCTTTGCATTCTTCCTCAGACCAAGATCTACACAGAGAAAGAAGGTCTTCAGTGGGTGAGGCACTTCAGAGATGCTTCAACAGAGACTGTGCTCAGGAGCTGTCCTGTGAGCATCCCCATCCTTGTGAGGCTCAAAGGTAGGATTCTCTCAACCACAGACTTCTTAAAATTCCCTTCTCCCCCTTTGACTTTACAGTCTCTTCTGAAGCCAACAGGAATCATTGTTCCTTCTGGAATTCTACAGTTGAACCCAAATGGGTCAATGTTTTGCTTCAGTCTAAAAGAAATGTCTCTTTCACAGATTAGCATTCAACTGAAACCAGCATTCAGTGTGACATCTGTATGTGAGATGGTGGATTTTCGCTGATGCCTGGAGGCTGAGTGTTTCTATGGAAAATATATAACCAAGTAAGATGCAGACCCAGCATCGGCTCGCAAAAGGTATAATTTTGATTGTGTTGATGGTTTTAAATGTGCCAGAGGAAAGGTGGAGATGGTGCAGATAAGTCTCTGGGACCTGATTGCTTAGAACAACAATCAAGGTAGTAAAATTGTGAATACATGGGACTCAATAGCAAATGGGGATTGTTTTCATATAGGGGATACTCATGAAAAGCTAGCTTCACCAGTGTGATGAGAACACTAGTGGCTTTATCAGAAACAATTGGTATTCTGTTATGTCGATGAGCAGTGTGAAATTTTCTCAACAAGTTGATTTCCCGCAATTTAATTCAGTTACCAGATTTTATATGGTGCATATAAACATTTATAATATAGGGAAATTAAATTTGTGCATCCATTCCAATCATTTTCCTGTATTCATATGCATGTCCATAGTGAATTAAAATGTGTGTTGTTTTGTTCCTGATCAGTAAAGTTAGAATTGCAGCATCCAGTCAACCTTCTTCTTCAGGCAGGAGGAATTCAGTAAGCACAAATTTTATTCTGAGTTAATGTCCATGCATTGTTTTCCAGGCAAAGATCCTGTGGTCTGAGACAGTAGTGTCTCCCTTCCCCGGAGAAGGAATCACTCCAAATCAATTGGCAAGCTCAGAGAAGAGAACAAAGACTTGAGGGCAGCACTAGCACACATGATTGTCACTCCAGTGTCCACTGATGCCCTCTCCATGTCTGCTCATAATAAAGCCCTGAAAACCACTGAGGAAGCAGCTCTTCAGATGATCTTGAATTGCCAATTTGGGGTTGGGACTGTGGCCAACATCTTTCTGTTTGTCCATAATTTCTCTCCAGTCTTGACTGGCAATCGGATGAAGCCCACCCAGGAGATTCTCAGCCACATGGCTGTGGCCAATGCCTTCATCCTCCTCATCACTGTGTCTCCAAACAATATGATGGTTTTTGCTCCAAGGATTCCGCTTACTGACTTCAGATGTAAACTTGAGTTCTTCATTCGCCTGGTGGCTCGAAGCATAAACTTGTGCTCCACCTCTGTCCTGAGTACCTATCAGTTTGTCACTCTTGTTCCTGGTCATTGGGTTAGCCTCGTGCTCAGAGGAAGAGTGACACATTTGGTGAGTTATTCTTGTTATGGTTGTTGGTTGGTCAGTGTCATAAATAATGTCTACATTCCAATGACAGTCACTGGTCCACAGAAACCAGGCAATGACACTGTTCCTAGAAGCAAGTTGTTCTGTTCCACCTCTGGTTTCAGTGTAGGCATTGTCTTCTTGCGTTTTGCTCATGATGCCACGTTCATCAGCATCATGACCTGGACCAGTGTCTCCATGGTGATTCTCCTACGTAGACATCACCAGCGAACAAAGCACATCCTCACTCCCATTCAGGACCACAGAGTCCATGCGGAGACCAGAGCGGCCCACACCATCCTCACGCTGGTGGTCACATTTGTTAGCTTTTACCTCTTAAATTTTATTTGTATCATCTTTCACAACTTGTTAATAGACTCTCGTCTCTGGATGAGACATGTAGGTGAAGTTTTGGCCGTAAGCTTTCCCACTATCTCTCCTTTTCTGTTGATCTTGAGAGATCCTAAGGATCCTTGTTCTCTGCTCTTCCACCATTGAAAACCAGAGTCATTAAAAATACCAAACCCAGAAGATATCTCGACTAATACCATTAAAATATTCTATTCCACAAATATGAGTTGGGCATCACTTTAATGATCTAGGCATGGTGGTCATTGTTTTTAATTTTTTTTAAATGTCCAAAAAGGAAAATGTTTATTTAAAGATATCCTGTGATAAATGTTTAGTCAAGGAAGTATCCCTTACAACATGAATAATTCCTCCATGATTATAGGTTAGTCACTTTGAATTTTCATATACTGAATTATGTTTTCTTTTTTGTTTGTTTTTGTTTTATTTTATTTTATTTTTGCTTATATATGTATATACTTATATTTATATAAAAAGAGCAATAATGGCAATATGTTATGCATCAATAGCAGCAACAGCTTTTCCAGGTTCTGCAGTCCTTTGAACAAAATTGTAGAGATTATCCAGCACACTCCATTTAAAAAAAACAAAAAACAAACAAAAACAAAAAAACAAACAACAACAACAACAAAAAAGTAAAAAACAAAATCCCAGAAGACAGCACAGTTCTGTTGCTCTTGTGGTACTTGGCACCATTTTTAAATTAGTTTCTCATCATCTGGGAGGAAACCAATCTGAGCAACATCATTAAAAACAGCTCTGATAAAGCATGGTCACTACTATGTATCATAAAGCAGGTCCACATATGAGGGAGTACATATCATATTTGTCTTTTTGTGATTGGGTTGCCTCGCTCAGAATGGTTTCTTTGAGTTTCATCCATTTTCCTGCAAATTTCAAGATTCCATTGTTTTTTTCTGCTGAGTAGTACTCCATTGTGTAAATGTACCACAATTTCTCTATCCATTCTTCAGTTGAGGGGCATCTAGGCTGCTTCCAGTTTCTGGCTATTACAAACAATGCTGCTGTGAACATTGTTGAACAGATGTCCTTGTTGTATGAATGTGCTTCTTTTGGGTATATGCCTAAGAGTGGAATTGCTGGGTCTTGGTTATTGGTGTTTTTGATTTTACACTGTTTTTAATTTTAAGAGTAAGGTTATATAATCATTTTGTTGATGGGAAATGGTCTCTGGTCAGGATGTGATTGGCTCAGTGACTGAGTTATCTGTGACCCTTTGTTCTCATGTACATAACTGTTCTCTGCTGCAGGCTGGTCTAAAACAGACTAAAGCAACATGCCTTAAACATCAACTTAAGGGGTTACAAGGTTTGCTCATTCTTTTATCAATTTTTATTTAAATTAAAATCAATCTTATTTTACATACCAATCCTAGTTCCCTCCTCCTCCCTCCAACCACCTGCCCGTCCTACCCCCAGTTCTCTTCCTAATAGAGGTTGAGGCCTCCCATGGGGAAATCAAAGTTTGCACATCATTTGCTCAGGTCAGCAGTTTCTGTGGGTTTCCCCAGCATGGTCTTTTTTTTTTTCAAGGCAGGGTTTCTCTGTGTAGCTCTGGAGACCAGGCTGGCCTTGAACTCACAGAGATCCACCTGCCTCTGCCTCTCGAGTGCTGGCATTAAAGGCGTGCGCCACCAACGCCTGGCTCCCAGCATGGTCTTGACCCCTTTGCTCATTACTCCTCTCTCTCCACAACTGGACTCCAGGAGTTGGGCTCAGTGCTTAGCTGTGGGTCTCTGCTTCTGCTTCTATTAGCTACTGGACGAAGGCTCTAGGGTGGCATTTAAGGTAGTCATCAATCTCATTATAGGGGAAGGACATTTAAAGTAGCCTCTCCAATGTTGCTTAGAGTCTTAGTTTGGGTCATCCTTGTGGATCCCTGGAGATTTCCCTAGTGCCAGGTTTCTCATTAACACTAGAATGGCTCCCTCTATCAAGGTATCTCTTTCCTTGCTCTCCTCCATCCTTCTCCCAACCCAACCTTCCTGACCCCCCATGCTCTCCTCCCCCTCCTCTTCTCCCATTCTTTCTTCCCTACCTTGCTCTCCCCTCCCCATGCTCTTAATTTACTCAGGAGACCTTGGAGGGTTCATGTATGTCTCTCTTAGGATCTTCCTAGATGTAGGTCTTCTTCTAGCTTGACTCTGAACAAAACAGGATCTATTGTTACCACTAAACGATTTCAAAGATGAAATTCCCATTAGCGCTAAATGTGTTGCGTGCCATTGCATTTTAGTTACGAGGTGTAGGCCTTGATGCCTTGGATTCTACTCAGGTGAGAGTTAAGCATCGGAAAAGCGTCACTTCTCGCTCTGTTGAGCAATGCAAGCTGCCCGTCACTGCAGGCATAAAGAGGAAAAATGCAAAGGCGGCTCTTGCTCTGGAACCTTAAGAGGTTTAAAGTCTCAGGACCAGGGGAGGAGACCCATTAGCAAACTCAACATCTTCTCCTGATAGACATTGTCAAAGGATTCACTCTGCGCCCTGGTGAGATGGGTTTTCCAGTCATCAGAAACACCTGCCAATTATAAGAAGAAAGGAGTATCAGGGCAGGGAAGCTGCCACTCACTTCAGGTTAGTTTCTCAGAAGATTAAAACCACGCACGCATCTGACTAAAATTTTCCACTACCCGTTGTCATGTGATGTTTCTCTGGGGTGACTAGGTTCCACTGTCCTTCTCTGCCCCAAAGAAACACGTAGACACTATATTAGTTATGAATACTGTTGGCCTTTGGTTAAGGTTTCTTATTTGCTAGGCCAGTCTTAATTATTAACCCATTTCTAATAATGTAAGTGTTTCCACATGGCCTTATCTTTTATTTATTTTTTTTATTTTTATTTTTTTTTGGCTTTTCGAAACAGGGTTTCTCTGTGGCTTTGGAGGCTGTCCTGGAACTCTTCTCTGCTATAAAAATTTGTAGTTATGAATTTCTAAGGACTTCCTCAGCTTCATCTCACAGAGTTCAATGTTTTCATTGAAACTTTCACTATTATTCATTTTATTTTATTTTTAAGATTTTATTTATTTATTATGTATACAACATTCTGCTTCCATGTAAGTCTGCACACCGGAAGAGGGCACCAGATCTTATAATGGATGGTGGTGAGCCACCATGTGGTTGCTGGGAATTGAACTCAGGACCTCTGGAAGAGCAGTCAGTGCTTTTAACCTCTGAGCCATCTCTCCAGCCCC